AAAAATTAATATACTAAGTATGTTCATTATTTTTATGCTCGTACACAATTGTCTATACTAACGTATAATTTTTTTAAAAGAAAAAATTCACAAAATAAATATACTTTAATTATCTTAATTTTAATTTATAATTATTTATTAATTATATTATAACTAAATTCCTGTATATACATTAACATGAATACTTTAGCTGAGACGAATAAAATATTATTTGTCCGCACGCTCCAAAAGTCAAAATGAGCCAAAGTCAACACCTCCCAATACTTCAAAAAACTTTCTGAGGATGACTCCGTGACGGGCAAATTGGTTCTTATTGAGTCTTTCATGGCTCAATTCCTTTAAATTTTGTTTGTTTTTATAGTATTTTTTTATTCCAACTCAATGTTATTTTTAAATTTTTTTATAATAAATAAAAAAATAATAATATTTAATTAATTTTTAAACATATATAATATAATTTTGATATTTTATTTTTAAAATACAAAAAATGAATATTTATGATATTTAAATATAATTATTTTTATAATTAAAAAATACTTGTAAATTAGATAGACATAAATGATATATATATATAATATTTTTTTTGAGACAAAAAAGTACTATTCTTTCCGTTTCGTATAAATTATTATTATTATTATTTTTTTGTCGGATTTCATATAATTTTTTTTTGAAAAATATATTTATATACTTTAATTATATTTTAAAATTAATAATTTATTATTTTTTAATTTGAATTAAACTATTAATTATCTTAATTATAATTTATAAATATTTTTAGTCATGTAATTAGATTTTTTTAATTATTTTAGTCTCGTAAATAAAATCTATGGCTATGGCAAAATGGTTTCATAAGTGAAGTTATTTTGCAATTTTAGTCCTCTGGCACGCAGATGCCTACGTGGCACCTATATGGAAATGACATCTGACCTGGCCGACTAACGTAGATTTTTTTTTATATAATTTAATGTATTTTTATGTTTTTTTTTTCCAAATTTTGTTTATTTTTTATTTATTTATATATATATATTAATTATTGTATTGACTAGATATAGTGAACACACTATAAGCCACGTAAGTAACTTATCAATCAATTATTCATTATTGCATATTAATGGCATTTGCCACCCCAACATTCAATTAATTAGCTGATTGAAATTGAATAATCATATAATTAAATAGGACTATATAATTTATGTCTATATACTACTTACTATATCTTACTCCCTCCGTCCCAAATACCCTATCTGCTACATTATAGACACGATATTTTAAGAGAGGTATAATTAGTAGATAATTAAGAATGTATTAGTAAAAATAATTATTCTATAATATAAATAATTATAAATTAAAATTAAGATAACTAATTAATTTAATTAAAATTTAAAAAAAAATTAAAAAATTTAAAATGAGATTAAAGTGTGTAATCATTTTCCAAAAAAGAAAAGTGACATGGTATGTGGGACGGACAAAAACGGCAACGTGGACATGGTATCTGGGACGGAAGGAGTATTATTTTTTTTACTATTTTCGTCCGCCCCACTTCAAAGTTTTCATTTTTTATTTAAAAAAAATAATTATACACTAATACTAAAATACCTATAACTTTTACTTAAATTACAACTGTTATACATACAATTATTTTACAAAAAAATAACTTCTTAGATACTTTCACTAATTAATCAAATAATATTATTTTTTTAAACAACCACAAACCCCAAATGACTCGTTTGAAATGGACCGATGAAGTATTTTAATTTGAAATATTTTTTATCCGAAGTAGTATTAGCCATGAAAAATTATGTGCACAATATAAAAAATATTAATTTTATTCAAGTTATTTTAAAAGGGTATATTAAACCAATGAGTTTGAACATGAATTTTGGTGTGTTTTTTTTGTCGAAACAAACGTTAATATATATTTTTTCAATAATTAATATATTATATATATTTATTATTTTTATATTATTTACATAATTTTTTATATTTTCATATAAAAATATAATTTCAACTTATTTTATAAAACAAACACACCCTTGAAATTTAAATAGGTAGTTGAAACATTTTTAATATAAATGCCTCCATTTAAGCAAAACTTTAATTAATTTGAGCTCAAATAATCAATGCTCTATATGTATATACTTTTAAAAAGTTTTTAATATTATTTATTAAAAATATGTTTTAAAGTAATACTATTAAACTTAATATTTATTTTATATTGCAAAATTAAATACTTAATTTTTATTTTTTTGTAAAAAAATTTCAAACTTCAAAAAGTTATATCTAGAAAAAAGATGCAAACCCAAAAAAAAAAAAAAAAAAAGTTAATTCAAATGTTTGTTTTGTATTTTTAGTTTAAAATACTCATTTCTTAGGTTAAGTATGACTAAATTTATCAGTAATATAAAAATAATATTGTAATGAATTAATTGTTAACTTATTTTTTTTTATGAATATGTAAATTATATACTCTTACCTTCTCAACTCAATGTATAATTTTTTTAATAAATTAAAAATAATAATATTTTATTAATTAATTAAAATGTGTAAAATAAGTTTGACATTTTGCTCTTAAAAAAAATAAATAAATAAATAGTTTTTTAAAAAGGTTAAAAATACTTTAGTATCTAGATATAAGTATTTTAATTTTATTTATAAATGGATACTTGAATGTGATAGACAATAAATAGTAAAAAATGATAAATTGAGAAAAAAAAAAAAATATATATTAGTATAGATATGTTATTTTCTTTATAATACTCTCTCCGTCCAATTGAAATGTTATCATTTTTCATTTTCGTCTGTCCCAAAACAAGGTTATTATTGCATAATTTAGTAATTATATTACTTACATAACATAATAAATACCCTTATAACTTACATTATATTACACAATTGCCATTACTTTTAGGGTAAATTATATAACACCCCATTGTGTTTTTATAAAAATGCACAAAACACCCTGTGTTTTATTTACTGCGTGAAACCCCTTTATGTTAATGTAAAGTTTGCACGAAACACCCTTTTTGTTCAAAACTGATATTTAGTTCTAAATAAATACCTAATTTACGCAAGTTTTATACAAATAAAAAGCGCAAAATATCTTAAATAATTTTTTTGCATTAAATAAATAAATAAATAATTTATTAATCATTCATTTTATAGTTTTTGGAGACAAATTATTTTCTGATTATAAAAATTATAAAATTAAATCATTGATCAATTATTTATTTATTTATTTTATTCAAAAAAATTATTTAAGATATTTTATATTTTTTATTTGTATAAAACTTATGTAATTTAGGTTTTTATTTTGAACCAAACATTAGTTTTGGACAAGGAGGGTATTTTATGCAAACTTTTCATTAACACAAGGGGGTTTCACGCAATAAATAAAACATAGGGTGTTTTGTGCATTTTTAGTAAAACACAAGGATATGTTATATAATTTCCCCTTACTTTTATATTACACAATATTAATAGGAGTATTTTCGTTTTTTTCACTACAATCCATTGTAATACTAATATTAAAAAATCTACGTGCAAAAAGTAAACGATAATCTTGCACCGAGACAAAAAAATTATTAATTTTAAAAACTTGTTGAAAATTTTTTGTTTCTTTATAAATATTTATTAATTAAATCAAATTACTATTGTAACGAGATAAAAATATAGTTTGCTACTTAATCCAATCAACATGGTAACTAAAACGTTAATAATACTCCTTGTGTCCAACTAAAAAATATATATATTTATATTTTGAACGTTCAATTACAAAGTAAACGTTTTATTAAATACTTAATTTTTTTCCACAAATACTCTTACTTTTACATTACATCATTACTTTTACACAAAAAGCAATGACAAAAATGACATTTTACACTACTTTTAACTATCCAATTATAAAATACTATTATTTCTTAAATACCGCGCCAAAAATAAATGTTTGCTTTGTATCGAACAAAGTGTATCATTAATATTTAAAAAGATAATAATGTTAACAATTTATTTGTTTTTAAGATATTTTTGTTGAGTTTGATTTATTTCAGGTTTGTGTATGAATTTGGATTCAAGATCAAGTCAACTTTTTAAAAAATTTCACAAAAAAATTTCAAGTTTATATAGGGTGTATTTGTTTGGGGTTTGGATTTTGAGTTGGGATTTGAATAGTAAAAATTTTGAATTTGAATAGTTGTATGATGTGATATAAATAGGTGTTGATGTGATGTTTTAAATGTAAAATTAATTTTTAGTATAATATAAAAAATGAAAAATAAGTATTTGATTTGATATTTTTGGGGGAAAAAAATTGGATGAATAGTAAAATTTTAACAAAATTCTACAAACGAACACACCCATAGAGTATACCTTGAGCCAAATCCTAAAGTAATAAAGTCCGATTCAAATCTCGTGCTTCATAATACTTCATCCGTCTCATATGAATAAGGTTTTCGGAGTTTTGTAGCGATTAAAAAATAATAATATTTTATTAATTAATGAAAAAATATAAAAAAAATTTACCAATTTTGCATTTTGATTTTATCATAAAATATTGTATATATAATGATATATTTATAATTTAAATAAAAACAAGGAGTATTTTGATATTCATATATAATTATTTTTATTAAAAAAAATTCGAGTAAAATAAACAAAAATATTAAAAAATATACTATGAATTAAGACAAATAAAATATACTCCCTCCGTCCGCTTATAAGAGTCATATTTACCTTTTGCGTACTTAACATTAAAAATATTTTTATATTTATATAATTTTTTGTACAAATATTATTTTATTAGTACTATAAAAGTGTTATATTGGGATGTAGTAGAAATAAAATTATTTTATTAGTACTATAAAATACTAATAAAATATTAGTATCATATTGGAATATAGTAGAAATAAAATAAAATAATTAAAATAACTTTATTAATATTGTGTAACATAGATAGTGTAATTATTAAAAAAAATAAATAAATAAATAATTTATTATAAGACATATTAAAATAGAAAAATGGAGATTATGAGATGAACCAACACATTGCCATCTTAATAATAATGAGATGGCTTCCAAGTTTAAAGTGGGGATTCTATCATCCCTCACTTTCTAATTTTGGATGCCCTACACAAACCAACTTGCCTTAAAAGTTTTCCAACCTCAATTGCCCAGAAATTCCTTTTTTTTAAAAAATAATAATAATAAAAAAAAAACATCACGTGCCCGGCACGCCTTCTCCCGTCCCTATTCGGATTTCGGTCATCATCTTTTTACCCATCCTTAACAACGGAACGGGCATCCGTAACAACGGATAATTTTCAACAGTCCGTTGTTACATACTTGTCGCAAACTTCGTCGCCGATCGACCACGGTTTCGCGACAGGACCCGCATCGCCGGAAAGATCGTCGTCACTCTCCGATGCGTCCATGTCCTTTTCCGGGGAGTCGAGCTGCACGCTCTCCGCAAACGAGTCGGGATCGTTCTCCGAGTCGGGAACCCCGTTGCCCGTCACCGCCCCGACAGCTTCCTTCCTCACGACGTTCAAAACGATCGCATTCCGCACCCGCTCGGGTTGCAATAACTCGCCTTCCGCCACCACAATGCTGCTCGGGTTACCCGTTGTCGTTGTCGTCGTTGTTGTTGTAATCATGGTCGTTGTCTGGTTCGTGACATTGCTCGACTGGCCTAGAATTCCTCGGTCCAAACCTTGTACGAAGTCGATGAATTTATCGGCCGAGGTTGTCCGCATCAAAGGCCCTCCCGATCTCGTCCAATTGTTCACATCGACGCTCTCGGCCTCGCTGTCGCTTCCGTCGTGAGTCGTCGACCGGTATCCGCGCACGTTCTTCGAGTGGAGATTGGCGGCGACGTCGGCGGCGGCGAGGAGATCTTCCTCGAGAGACCCGGTGGAGTTCTCGCGGGCGATGACGTTCCATGACGGGATTCGTTTTGACGCGTTGAATCGGGTGGCGGTCGAGAGGTTGCCCTGAGAGGCGGCAGCTGCCCGCTCCGCGCTCCGCTTCAGTCGGCGCATATGGTTGAGGATCGCGACGCACTCGTCCAACGCAAGCTCGATTCCACAATTGGCTTTTATCGTCGACAGCTTCTCCCACGTACATCTTCTTCCCTGGTTCGCCGCTTTCTGAAGCTCGGTATACGATGGGTTTTGAATTATCTTCGATATCTGAAAATTCGAAATACGAAACGATATAACAAATCAACTTAAAAAACCGGGCGAACAAAGCACATCGCGCGATGGATGCAATCAAGAACAACACGACTGGAATTTCAATCGATCTTTTGTACTTATTAGGACTATCGAACAAATTTGGATCACCAATTCGCCGAAAATCACATATGTTTATATCGAATCTCCGGAGTTCTCTACGCTAAACGACAGTATTCGGTTGATGCTAAGTATCAAACGACTAAAACCCGATTAAATTCAATCGCCAAAGTAACACAAACCTAGTTCTAGCACTTTCATTCGATCTTTCGTACTTATTCAGGACTATCGAACAAACTAGATCATCAATTCGCCAAAAATCACATAGATTCGCATCAAATCACCGGAGTTCTTCGAATGTTGCTAATTATCAAATCCATATTTTCGACGATTGTAATATCACAAACACCTTAAGCGATAAAAACGGTACCTGAGCTAAAGTAGCCGGCATTACGACAGTGACATCGCCTTCCCAATCCTGGGCGAAAAGTTGAGCAAGTCCGCCCATCGGAAAACCGAGCTCCAATATTTGATTACATCGATGCTTTACCTCCATTTCAGTTAATTGAGCAAGCTGTGAATCGATACAAACTCGACTGAATAACCAATCACAAACAACAGACGATCAAAAAACTTTTAAGAAATGAAAGCATACCTTTGCGGCGAAGTTGCCTCCGTAAGCTCGAACGATCTCCTTCAATCTCAGCAACGGCACGATGTGCGGATTCGCTTGGCTCACGATAAAATGGTTGACATTAAAGAGTTCCTTCAGCTGCGCCATCGGCAAGTCGATCTCGAGGCTCCCGTCTCTCCACCGTCGCGCCGAAGTGCTCGAGACCTCTTCAGGCCCCAAATGAAACGGCGGATGGTACGGCACGATTTCGCCGCTCCTGTCCTTCGCCATAAGCTCCTGAGCTTCGAACAGGCCCGGAAACGCGCATGAAGCCGTCACCGCACTCCATATGACGACATGAGGTGATGTCAAGTAATTAAGGCATCGAGGCGGCTCGTGCTTCCGCGGTGAGCATACCGTGATCCCTAAGATCCTGCCCGTCATATCGTACGCTTCCTGAAAAGTTAGATTACTCGTTAGATGTCGGAGCATGACTTGGAGCTGTCGGATGTCGTGCACGGCGCCTTGCGTCATGACCCTCTTGAACACGGTGAAAATCCCGCCCATCTGATCGAAGAACTGGATCGAATGCCACGAATCCTCGAAGAAGCTCTGAAGCTCGGGCCACGACCGTGTGGCAACGACCGAACACATTATCGAGCCGACGCTCGATCCCGCGATGATCCGCGGCAAGAGCTTGTGTTCGACCAAAGTTTTCACGACGCCGACATGGAAGGCTCCCAACGACGCGCCGCCACTCAGCAGCAGCGCCGTCCTACCGAAGGCGTGCCGCGTCTCGTGCATGAACGCGAGCTTTTCCTCTAACAAGAGCTCCTCCGAGTCGGAGTCGCAAACCATTTTTAGCTGTGTCGTGACCTCGTCGATGTACTCTTTTATAAGCTTCGGCACCTGAAGTCGACCCTTGTGGAGCTCAGGATTACACATGTTGCCCAAATTCCGAACAAGATCGGCCCTCATACAGAATATGATGTCCCTAAGCGAACCCTCCTGCCGACGGTGCCGAAGCTCTTGCAACTTATTTCTTACGAGCTCGACGTCGTAGAGATCGGATTCGTTCATCTTATGAGTCTCTTTATCGAGCATTTTGGCGGCGTGTGCCCATTCTTCGTACGTCAAAGCTGCCCTCATCATGTTCCTCCAAAACTTTCGCCTATACGCCATTTCGGCCCTCGTTTTCACATTCGTGTAACGCTTTAACAAGAAGGCGATCCCCGTCATCATCACGAGAATCCCCTGCGGATTCCGGGGATGGAACCACGAGATCACCGGAGATATGTAGCTCCGGAAGATTCCCCGGAATTTCGACAAGCATATTAACAACATCCCTATGATCTGATGCCTCAAATGCGACATCGATTTACAGAACAAAACCCGGAAGGCGATCGTACGGCCGAAAAGCGACGATGGCCCTATTGAGAATGAATCAACGCTAGCCTCATTGCTTATATCCATGGCGGCCTTCACCTCAATCCAACAATCTCAACAATATATATATATATATATATCTAGAGAGAGAGAGAGAGAGAGAGAGAGAGAGAGAGAGAGAGAGAGAGAGAACTGACCTAACAAGAACAAGCTAGCAGCTATGGATCAAAATCAGAATCAACAGAAACTATTCCTATCTCAACAATATATATATGTGTATGTATAACTGACTAAACAAGAACAAGCTAGCAGCTATGGATCAAAACCAGAATCAACAGAGATTCTTTCTTCTACCATCAATGGAGCAGCAAATTCACCAGAGATTTCAAACTAAGCAGCAAGCAATAGCTTAATTGCAAGAATTTTACCCTAACTAAGCAAGAAAATGTATATTCCAGAATAAACCCTAGAAATCGAAAAGGGGGAAAAGCTAGGGCACGCAATTGAGTACCAATTAAACTCCCGAAAATTCTCCCCCGCCGATTAACCCTCAAAATCAGCTGTAGATGCAACCAATTCGATCAAAAAGGGCAGCAGGCGATTGCTTCAAGCAATCGAAGTTTTGGATATATAGGAAACGCGTGCGCGAATCAAATGGTATGAAATTCAATTCAACGCTGTGATCGAAATATATATATAAATTGATTAATGGAGAAACGCCATACGTGGGCATCGGGATTCGGAATGGAGTCAGGAGGAGGATTTGGATGTGATGTGACAGCCATATCGGTTCGCAGTGCTGACGCGGACGAGTCTAGAAAACGACAGAAGAGGATGAGATGTTTACGTTATTGTGGGAATGGCTATGACTGCCTACCAGGCTCCATTGATGCTTTCTTGGTTGGGACTCTGAGAGGGCTTTTCCAATGTTCTTCTTCTTCTTCTTCGTTGCTTCGGCAGATTGATCTGCGAAAAATGGTTCGATTGGAATTTGGATATGGAAACTAATTTGATTTTTGGATTTGATCCTCCTTTTTTTTTTTTTTTTTTTTTTGTGTGTGTATTTTAGTGAGGATTTTGAGCAAAATGAAAATATTCAGAATTGCTCGTCCGGTTAGACAGGCGGTTTGCCGGTTTAGAACCTCCAGCTCCGGTTCAAATCTGAACCGGTAGTTTAGCTGAGGGAATGAAGAAAAGCTGTAGTGATGTGGAAGATTCGGATATGAGATCCGACCCGAATACAAATAGACAAACTCGATGCCTGAATAAGACATAATTACGTTTGATTCGGCTATACTTCACATATATCTGATAAAATTTAATGGATTTAAATTCAAAATACTCTTGTTATTTTAAAAAATGTAATTAAAAATATGATCCAAACCCGAGATCTATTAAAATTTATACTCCTATTTTCGTCGAAAATAAAAATATAAAAACCATCTTACACATTTTCAATAAAATCAATAAAATAATACTATTTTCATCCGGCTTTAAAAATTCTATTTATTTTTTGAATATTAATATTTAAATATTAATTATTATATTAAAATATAGAACAAATTTAAAAAAAATTGCAAAAATAGTTACATTAGTATTTTATAATACTAATATAATGATATTTTAAAAATATATATATACAAATATAAAATTTTTTTAATATTAATTACAATGCCACAAATAATAAATGTAACCCTTAGATGCGGACGAACATAATATTATTTATTAAATATAAAATAATATTATGCTCTCCTACATTTCTATATCTACGGTTAATAGACATAATAGTCGAGGCAAAATGTCTTTAATGTTATTATATTTTTAGAGGTTATTTTTAAAATGCAGTTTATGCATTCAGCTAAAATAATTTTTTTATAATCTTTGTTTGTTCTACTAAAAAATACTCCATCCGTCTCCATAGTCTGCTATAACGATATTTTAAGAGGATGTAATTAGTAGATAATTAAGAATGTATTAGTGAAAATAATTATCTTATAATATAAATAATTATAAATTAAGATTAACACAACTAATTAGTTTAATTAAAATTAAAAAAAATTAAATTAAAAAGTTTAAAAAGAGATTAAAATATGTAATCATTTTTCAAAAAAGAAAATGACATGGAACGTGGGACGGACAGAAACGGCAACGTAGATATGGTATGTGGGACGGAGTATTTATTTTATACTCCCTCCGTCCACACACAAAGTAAACATTTACTTTTGGTGGTGTTTAAGAAATAATAGTATTTTAATTACAGTAGGCAGTTAAAAGTAGTGTAATGATATTTTTGCCCTTACTTTTTGGTGTAAAAGTAATGATGTGATGTAAAGTAAGGGTATTTGTGGAAAAAAGTAAGGTATTTAATGAAATGTTTACTTTATAATTTGACGTCCCAAAATAAAAATATATATACTTTCTAACTGGACGGATGAGTATTTTAATAGAAATAATTATACACTGATCAAAGTATCTTTAACAACCACACCTCATTAGATCGATTTGTTTTCTATCTGTAGGCTAATGAGGATTTTGAGAAAAAGAAAATAATATCTCCTAATTTTATTTTGAGTGTGTTTGTCAATTAGCTGATAGCTTTAAACTGTGTTAGCAGATTCAATTAGTTAGTTTGACTAGCTGATTTGAATCAGCTGATTGTATTGAAATATTTGGTAAAATAACTGTTTGACATTAGTTGTTTATACGTAAAATGACAATTAAAGACATTGATATGTTATTTTTTAACATATTTAATTTTTGTTAATTTTGGTTTAAAAATTATGAGAATTTTTGTTATTAATTATTGAAAATAAAAAATATTCTAAAATTTTTATTTTTATATTTTAGATTTGAGAAAAATATTTTTATTAAAAAACAATAATAATTTTTTATTGAAATTGTGTAAAATATAAAATAATAAATATTTTGTATATATATATTTATTTTGATAATTATTGTTTATTGAATTTTAATGTAAAAATTTTATACTAAAAAATATATAAATAAATTAAATATTTGTCTTTTCTATTTGATTTAATTTTAGTAGATTTATATATTTATAAATAAAATGATTTATACGTAATAATTAATAGATACTGCAATAAAAATATATTTATATGTATGAAATAAATAATTTTTAAGGATAAATAAGTAATAAATAAAATTAAATTGAAAAAAAAATATTTCAAAATGTTCGAGTAATTAGCTTTCCAAAAATTAATTTTTTAGATCCAAAAAGCTCTTTAAAAAAGTTAATTTCCCAAACACCCGAATTATTTTTTTAAAGAATATTCTCCCCTATTTATACAACCTAAAACGTGGATAATTGGAATTTGGAACACTGTTGGCCTGTTGCGTGCCAATACGGCATCGTTTTTAAACTGATTTAATCATTTTGAAATTATCGGAATCTACTAGCACGTTTGTTTTACTTTTGCATTTCAACAAATATATATATATATATGTATATATATCTTACAATTTTTTGTAAAAATATAGTATTAGTTTTTAAAATTTATTATTTAAATAAAAAATTTAATTTCAAATACAAACCAAACAAATGGAATCACCATTATTTCAATATTAATTTTGGACCTCAACAAGTGACGAAAGAATAAGACGTGAGGTGATGGGGTTGCTCGCATGTTAGAAACCTATTTTCATATAATTTTTAAAATATTTAAACATATATTTTACATTTCTTTTAACCCTATAAATATTAGATTATAAATTAAATATTAATTAAATAAATAAATTTTTCATCCAACTTCCAAATTAAATTTGAATAGGTAAATAACTAGACACACCATCTCAAATCACTACTATGCACAATTTTTAACAAAAATAAATATACTAACGATAAAAAATAAAAAAATAAAAAATTCACAAAATATCACATTAAAATACTATTTAAACAAAAATATTAAATAGAACATTCCATTTCAAATTTGAATAGGTAAATTTTGATATTTTATGTTAAGAATAGTTATGAAATGTTTCAATTTTGAAGATATATATGTGTTCTGTCAATTTAAATTAATCAAAATTGTAGTATATACATTGAACAATATCAAAACAAGCTTACCTTCAAATAGATATTGCATTCCATCATCTTTTTCCGAATAATTAGTTTTCGACCACAACGGCGTACCTTCAAAATCTTTGGTTAGTTTCCCGGACTTATCCTCCTCTTCAGTCCAGAGAGACGGAGTATTTTGTAGTAAGAGTTGTCGCCAAATATGCTGCACAACAAAGTATTTCTACATATAGTTTCGAATTTTAGTGATCAAGGTTAATGGGAGGTCGAGAAGACATACCCGGCGGCAGAACCTATTAATTCTCACTCCTGCAGGCTATAAAATTGAGGCGCCAGCTCGGCTAACCACAAGTAATCTATGACTGAAACATTTCGGATATAATTCTGATTTGTCTTCACTAATTCATTGAAAATGATGCACTCCGGTTTCATCCGAAACAGGACAGACGAAGGATGGATCTTAACAGTCAGACCACTTGACAAAGCCCTGTCGCCAAGGACAACAAACATAGCTTACTAAAAGTATTGCTGTTAAAAAGAGTCGTGAAAAATGAATTTGTTTGGGGAATTTTCATTATTCAACTCATTTTTCTCTTTCCCTCGGCATAAAATCAAACATTTATTTTTTGTATTATGTTCATTCAATCCGGAATACTTATGTCAGTTTTTCTTTTTTGACTATCCACTAAACTTATGCATAGTGAATTTATAGTAAATAACTTTATCCTTGAATAATATTATTACACTTATAATAACTAATTTGACATTACTTTTCTCAGGGCGTGGATCATATTTGACCCAATCAAATCTGGATAATCGGGTCAACATATCACATAAAGGTAATCAACATATAGTTTTGCATAACACAACATATGTTATGCTATAAGATATTGTATGTTAAATTATAACAAAACATATTACATAAAGGTAATCAACATATAGTTTTGCATAACACAGTATATGTTATGTTATAGGATACCGTACGTTGAATTATAACATAACATATGTTATATCATAAATATGTTATAGTATATAATATATATGCTAGATTACCTTTATGTGATATGTTAACCCGATCAAATCAACATTATACTACTGATTTGATTAGGTTAGCACTGGATTCGCAGCCCTTTTTTCAACTTGTCCTATTACATTTTTTTATCAACTTTTTAATAAATTTCTCATGCAAAATTGCATAACAAGCTTGGACGGAGTGAGTAGTAAGAATCAATTTTACATTCAAAATATCACATCAACATATATTTATATCACATTAAACAACTATTTAAATTCAAATTTTACCATTTCAAATCCAAACAAACACACTACTATATTACCTGTAAGTTCCATCCGGCTGTTTCAATGCCGCGTTGAGAAAAAATGAAGCAGCTAAGCATCTACGGAGTGGAAGCATGTCGTCTCCACATGAAGTTCCAGCCAAACCCATTTGCTCGGCATTCCTTTGTATTTGGCTATATATAGAAGACGAATATAATCAATAAAAACGGTTGTAAGGAACTATTCTGAACGGTAATTAATAAAACTATCTTTAAGACCTGTGTATATCTTGGGCGTGCTTTAGGGAACGGTAATTAATAAAATTGTCTTTGCACCATTTCTTGAGATTCTTTGCAGCTTTCTCTTCGCTGCTTATGAGCTTAGCCTTCTCGGAGAATTCATCAAAGGCACGGTACACATTTAGTAAGGTCAGATGATCTCCATCTTGGCTTGAGAAGCTTCTCAATGCAATCCGCGACTGCATAAATACTAGGATTTTAGTATTGGTTCACATGATCACATCTGGCAATGCAAGATCGAATCATTCAAGCCGACATTCATTTTTATGTTGATGGTTCTTCACAAGGCGTACATGAATGGATATATTTAATCGACTGCTAGGAACCTATTCCTGTTTCCTAAATGCTAAAATATATGAAAAAGCAAAACCCCACACAAAAAAAGACAGAAATATAAATCAAACGTAAATGTTTATTATCTACTACTCCAAGTAAGACTGGCACTGTACGTACCTCTTCCAACCTTTCACGTGGTGCGTAGAATATGGATTCAACCGAGAGCATTGCGACAATTATCAGCATTTCTTGAAAGCAATTAAATTGACTGGCAACAATGAGCGCCTTAGAATAAACAGGATCCAATGGAAGTCTCGCCATTTGGTGACCAACTGGATCTGATAATTTACTTTCATCTGTTAGAGCACCTAACAAGAATAGCATTTCCATTGACTTGATGATAGCCATACTGTAAGGATAAAAGTAAACGAAATTTAGAAAGATGAAAACAGTATAAAACCAGGTAAAATAAACGGAAAATATAAGTAAAACCAAAAATTTTAAAGGCATTATGAAAGCAAATAAAACAAAAAAATCACACCCCAATATAACTACCCCAACTGTGTATATCACCAAATTCGGATATCTAGACCGAACAATCAATAGAATCATAGGTGGTGTTCTTTTGCGGATTTTATCACAGATTTTTACCATTCAAATTCTTTTTTCCCTAAAAAAATATCAATTCAAATATTTTTTTTTTTATATTATTATACAAATTTATTTTACATTCAAAACATCAAACAACTATTTAAATTCGACTTTTTACTATTCAAAAATTCAAACCCAAAAACTCAAACAAACACACCCATAATGATCCGGAGCAAGATATATTAATCTAAGAATGCATAAGCTAATTGTATAATAGGAGGCATATACTACATCTAGCTAAATAAAAATAATGGCTTGCAAAGGACAATGCATGAGCTCGATGATAAATCAGCATAATCAATGAAGAATTAAACACAAGTAACACAACATTTTGAGAGTGGCATGTTGCATAGAGAACAAAATGCCACAATACCTGTCTGGTTTTTCAATGAACTCAAAACCAACAATATCATCGATTCCCAGCGCTTTCAGCTGCAAAATAACATTTGCAAGATTGCATCTTTTAATTTCTGGTGTTGTGGAATCTTTCAGCTTGTAAAAGTCATTCTCTGGATAAAGACGAAAGCATTTCCCAGGTCCTTCACGACCAGCTCGCCCTCTGCATTAAATATAGATCATTTTTAAAAGCTCAATTCATTGTAACTGTACTTAGATGTGCGTAGAACCTACCTCCTCTGAAGTGCCTGTGCTTTCGAGGTTGTAACTATAATCAAAGGTTCAATTCCAGTAGAAGCATCATATGTGCGTACTTTAACCATTCCCGGGTCAATGACATACTTGATTCCAGGTATTGTCACAGATGTCTCAGCAATATTTGTTGCCAATATGACCTAGACGTCGTACAAAAGCAACCAATGTCAAGTAATCAATATTGACCCAAGAAATTCCAATGCAGAAAAACATATTATTATGTGGGAAAGGCTAGCAGTTGCAAATAGATCAAACAGCTTATTTTTTCGAATTATCATACAGTAGGAAGGCTCGCTAACAGTGTACCAGAGAGCTCCAGCATAATAATTAAGTAAATATAATATTGGACTTACCAAAAAGATTTCCCCCTTATGCTTATCTAAGCATAAATATTACAAACCACGATAACATCATAAAATTAATACCAGCAAATTATTCAGCAACGTATTGATCCATTGTTCAAAGTTTTCTTATCAGAAGAACTATGAGCATTAGCTTTTTTCTAACATTTTAAAAATCCACGTGTAATTGTCAAAACACACAAATGCCCCCACACATCTGAATAAAGAAGTTACATATAGGATATAACATGAAAAATGAAATTAGAAGATAGTGATCAACCTTACGAAATCCAGTTGGAGCTGGCATGAAAACTTTCATCTGTTTCTCTGATGGGAGAGATGCAAATATAGGAACAACTAAAAGATTTTGTTTACTCTCAGGTAACTTTGGGAGGCGCTCTTGGACTAATCTCTGCATAGATTCTATTTCTTCTTGGCCAGTTAAGAACACAAGTATATCACCCGGTTGATCCTCCAGGTGAATCTAGTTGAACATAGGCAAGAAACAAAAAGCTATAAAAAACTGCAATTTCATGGCAGTGAGCAACCAAAAATAGAAGTTTAAAAAAAAGTGTATAGTAAAAAATTCTAAACCTGTGCCACTTAAATCGATTCCACTTCATTGTTAAAGTTAGCATTCAGTAATGGGCCTTTATACAAATATTCAGCAGGATGTATTCTCTTTCTTTCATCATTAAATCATTCAGTTCAAAACCATTAACTCACACTTTTAACAAAACAATCTTCAAAGACACATAAGTTCAAAGGAGGGTACAGAGATCCTGCTTTAGTCTGCTTGATTTTCACCAGAAAAATCCATATAAATTTGTAGAATTTGAAGATACCAAGGTTTTGCTTTATTTCATTTTCAACTGTGTTTTCACCATATTCATGGAAGTTTTTCCCTTTAAAAAACATCAAATACCTATTCTTAATTTAAAATATTACAATAAGAAATTATTTTTATCCAAAATATCACATCAAACACCTAATACTACTGTATCAACACTATTACAATTCAACCTTCATCTATTTCTAAAATACCAAAATACCCTTTAACACTCACTAAAATAGTGGATCTATTAGGAAGAATAATATTAATGTTAAGCCTATTAGAGTTGAATGCATTGGGTTGTTTTTTGAATTAAGCCTAGGTTGCCTATTAACAAGTTTTAAGGTCAGTATTTCAGGATATCGAGAATTTCATTATTGGAGTCAGCCTTTCAGGCTTGGGACAAAGGAGAGTATCTAAATGCAAAAGAAAGAAATTATTGTATTTCATTCCTCTAGTTTAACTTCTTTTACAATAAGATTTTTCTACTCTGTAACAATAGCTCAGCCAAGGGGGAGTTATTGAGTCAAACCTGAAAAATGGTAATCATTGTTGCATCTAGGTAATCGGTCTCAGGTTGATAGGTGTATAATGTGTCAACAGGATATTGGCGCCCCTGGACATGAACAGCCCTTGCACCACCAAAAAACTCTGAAAAGATTGCAAAGTCTAGACTTGCAGACATGATAATCAACTTCAATGCAGGCAACTTTTTTCCTTGGCCATGCTTCAAATTGCTGGTAGGATTATACCCTTTTACCAACGGTAAGCCATTATGATCTTTTGTTTGATCGTTACTGGTTGTTTCAAGAGCACCCTGAGACCTAGCTTTTTGCACACTCTTCAACAGGCCAAGCAATACATCAGTGTGTACAGTTCTTTCATGAGCCTCGTCCACAATAATTACTGAATACTTGGAGAGATATTGATCCAACAATGCTTCCCTGTAATATAATTCAAATATCATTTATGGGAATTGCCTTTCAAGAATAGCTATTTCCAAACAAGAACCATATGAGTAGATATCGTGTAAACCCAACTTTTTGACAAATGAGAACAGTTTCCACACGATATTAAAATTAAATAACTAGCATTAAGAAGCAACCGTAGACGGGAAGGTGCATACACCTCAACAACAAGCCGTCTGTCATGTACTTAATCCTTGTTGAGCTGGAAGTCATATCTTCAAATCGGATGGCATATCCAACCTTTTGTCCCAGAGTAACTCCACATTCCTCGGCAACCCTTTTAGCAACAGTTACGGCCGCAACACGTCGAGGTTGAGTTATCCCAATGGTTCCACCATTTCGGCAAAACCCACCATTGAATAGATATTGCGGTAGCTCTGCAGAGTATTTTATATCACGTGGATTAAATGTTCTAATTAAAATAAATAAACAAGAATTACAGGTAAGGGGCATGGATGAATAAAACGGAAAAATATTGAAGCTAAGATAATCAATAATAAAAGCCTAGGGAGCAAATTTGTAGATTAACATTTATCAAATTTAAGAACAAAAAGGATGAAAATTCAAGTCACTGCATATGTGAAGTTCATTTTAGGAAACTTCAAGGATCATAAATTTATGTTATTATCCCACCATACCACCTTGTCTAGAAAATGCAATTCAGATTGGGTAAATATCATCCAATTCCTACTAAGAAAATTCACTGCAATTTTTTTAATTTCTCATAAGAGACAACAAAAGAAAGAAAGCTTACATTTTCATAGAAAGTAATGTAGCATACAATGCCTAGAAGTAATGCCACAATGTACTCAGCAATTGAACTGGGCAAATGTTTAATCAAAGCATTTGATTGTATTTTAGAAATACTAGGAAGAGGAGGATGCCTTCTGCACATCATGCATATAAACCAAAACTTGTTGCTTTTATAAATATACATTAGAAACAAAGAAAAGTAGATTGTCTAGGAAATATCTAATAAAAAAGTAGAGCAAATTCTAGCGAGGATGAAGCAAGAGAAAATATATGAATAAAACTCACGACCATACAAGACTTACGTGTTGTCTTCCCACTCCCTGTTTCTCCAACAATAATCAGTGTATCATTATTGCTAACCTCCTCAAGAAGTTTCTTTTCAACTGCCATATGTTTCAATATTCAATCAGATAGAAATAGCCGGTTGGGAGTCTGAATTTTGGAACCAAAAAAATATGAAATATCTCAAGCATGATGAATAGAAAATTAATAATGTAAGCTATACCTCCCTACAAAGCATAAATCTGACACCATTCAATTCCAGGTACGTTTCCAACACCAACTAAAAAAAAAACACTTTTAACTCCAAATCTACAATCATAAAAAAATATGTTGTTGGAAGGATATATCAGGGAGCAATAAGTTGGCACACACTCTAGATTGTGAAAGTAAAACTGAGTAATATGTTTCTTATAATACCGGGGTGGGTGTGAAGCGTGGGGTTTACACCAGCTTGTGTTATATCACACGAGCACTAATAGCTAAGGTGGAGATAGGGAAGACCTAGTTTCATTTAAAGTATTACATCAGAAACCTTTTATCTAACATTACATTCAACACAAATTTTCCATTTAAAATATTATATTCAACATTGATTTTTCATTGAAATTTACAGTTCTGAAAAGCCAAAATACTTGCAAAACACAAAACTACGCGCATGAATTTCAGATATATTTTGCACAATGAAGATCAATCAAGTGACTGGAATCATGCAAAATTCGCACTTTAAACCTCAGAAAAAACAATAAAAATCACTTCCATGTATAACGGAATGAATTACTCCCATAATTAAAAGGTTGTAGCAATTACAGCCAATGCTATGTATAGCTTATCCCATGATTTTCCTAAATGACAAAATGCAACTGTGTATAGGGCGTACAAATTATTATTACTGATTTTTTGTAGGACAAATACAAATGGGCACTCTTGTGATATTAAGGTGGCATTTGTTTGAAAGATTTTCACCGATTTTTACTATTTACCAAATTTTTTCCACCCAAAAATTCAATAATTATTTTTCATTTTTTATATTGTACTAAAACTTAATTTTACATTCAAAACATCACATCAACATCTATGTATATTGCATCATACAACTACTCTAATTCAATTTTTTTAATATTCAAATCTTAACTCAAAATCCAAACCCTCGAACAAACACGCACTAAATTACCATCCAAACATTTGTTCAAACAAAAGAAAATAAGATCTTAACCTTAGCTTCACCAGAATTCGTTAACACATAAGCAAAAAGGCATTCAACCTAAACATATTTTTCATATCAATCAATTTTCCGCTACCCGATACCATTCTAGATCAAAAATATAAATTTGCTGCCTTAGAAAACATTAAGCTGTCATACCATACAAAACATGTCAATAACTTCACGACGAACCAACCACAAAAGCACATACCCTCAAACAAACAGATGATTGCACAAATGAATGATCAAGTGGAAACTACCTGTTGCAATGGGCAAAGATTTCCTGTGCTGCTCAATTTTCTGTCTCCTACAAACATAATACAACATTGATTAAGCAACAAAAACAGAAGCAATTCACACAAATCAATCCCATGTATATGTGCGTATCAAAACCTGATGTAGCTATCGGATTTTTGCCGCTTGGGTTGACTGATTTCCGCTGCAGTGTTGGACTTATTGGAAGTCATTGCAGCCATGGAAACGTAATGACTTGTCGAGTAAGTTCAAACTTCGATCAACTCAACAATCGAGTTTGTCCAATAACTCAAATTTCAAAAAGCATTTCAACAATTGTTCATAGAGTGAGAGTTGAGCAATGGTGTCGACTGAGGGTTCCTTCCAGGCAATACAACGACGAATAGAGAAGACGGTTGAAGAATAGCCTCCAATTATAAGACAACGACAAGTCGACAACGGAGCTGGCTTTCTTGAATAGGAAGAATCCAGAGAAGAAAAAGATGGCCGCTTTGAACAGTATTTGAGAAGAAGATTGATTCACTGTCTTTCTTCTTCTTCCCCTTGCTCTTCTCCACCGGTCTCACTTTTTCCTCTCTTTTTTTCTGTTTTCTCAAACCTTGAACGGCCGTGGCGACTGCGGTGGCTGGGGTAGCAGCGACGGCGGTCGGTGATGCGTGAGTGACGAGGCAGAAGGGAAAGAAGAATGGGGAAGGAAGAAGATGGATGGGCGGCTGCTGTGTTAACGTTGATTTTTTAAACAATGGATATTCTTGGAAAGTTTTGGTTAGACTTGCTCATTCGGGTTCGAACCGTCGCCCGTTCGCCGGTTTTTGAACCGCCGGTTACGGTTCGAACCGAAACCGGGACCGAAACCGTCGTTTCGACGGTTTGTTTTCGGTTTGGGATTTTCTCAAACCGTCGGTTCAAACTGCCGGTTTATGGTTTGAACCGGCGGTTTAGCTGTTTCTTTTTATTATTTAACTCTCACCATGGCAGGAGCAAGCAGGCGCGCAGAAGAAGATAAAAAAAAAAAAAAAAAAAAAAAAGGAGGAAAGGAGGAGAAAGCCGAGGTTGGAAGAAAAAAAAGTAAGAAATGGGAGGAAGAAGGAAGGAAGAGGGAGAACGTGTGTGCGGGCGCAGGCGCGGCTGCGCGTCCAAAGGAAGAGAAGAACCTGTGAGAGAGCGGCTGCGGCGTCTGTGGAGTGTGGATGGATAATTGTATTGATTAGGCATTAGGCTTAAATTGTGTGTATTTTATAATATTATTATTATATTTATAATTAAAATTTAAAATATAACAATAATAATATTAATAAATATAAATAATTATTAATAATATTGAAAAATAATAATACTATTAATATTTTTTATTTATATTTTATATTTTTATAATTTTTTATTATATAATTATATATAATTTAAATTATTCTATTATCTATTACAATATTTTTATAATTTAATTATTTACTATATTTATTATTTTAATTATTTTTATAATGTAAAAATTTAATTAATTATTTATATATATGATTTTTATATAATAAATAAAAAATAAATATATCTAAATAAAATTAAAATAAAACTTAATTATTTTTAAATAAAATTCAAAGTTTTAGAAAAATAGAAGATAGAAAAGAAAAATATTAAAAATGAGTATATATAAACCGGCAGTTCAAACTGTAATCGGCAGTTTATAAACCGTAATCGAAATCGTCAAATCGTAACCGATATTTTGACAAATAGTAACCGATAATTTGAACCGTTTGGACAAGTCTAGTTATGGTGTGTTTTTTTTAAACTTTAAAAATAAATAAATAAATAAATAAAATCTCATCATATATATTTTTTAAAAAATAAAAAATAATATATTATACATATTTATTATTTTTATATTTTTTATAAAAATTTACTATATTTTATATAAAAAATATTTTTTAAAAACATTTTACAAAATATATACACAATTTATAAATAATAAAAAAAAATACTAATATATATTTGATACTATTGTAATAGAAGAATATATATTTAAAATATTAAAATAATGTCAAAATTTTAAAATTATAGTCGGTACTAAAGAATTTTGTGAACTATAAAGAAAATATTTTAAATTATCCCTATTTTTTGTTTTTTTTAATGACATGGGGCAAATAATGTGGTATAACTATATGTGATAGGTAAAATCTGAAGATGAGTTGTAAATGAATTAAATAAATTCTAATATTAATCAAATACAAATACTATAAAAACTTAATAATATTCAAACAATATAAAATATAATATACATATATATGTCTTTTCCAAAATAAATAAATAAAATTAATTTTATTAATAATAATATTTTTAAATTTTATATAAATAAATATATAATACTCCCTATAATTAAAAATTATGATTATACAAAAATATATTTATGTTAAAGAAAAAAAAAGGTCTTTTGTATTCATTTGACAAAATAATAATAATAAATATGATTTTCAAATTACTTAATATAATTATCAATTTTTTAAAATAAAAATTGAATCAAAATAGCTTTAAACCTAATCAGATAAGTAAAAAATAATCACATCTTGAATCAAATATTAAAATCAAATCGAATAATTTAAAACTATTTCTAATCAATTACAAATGTTATTTTAAAATTCAAAGAATATTCAATCGAATAGTTGAATATTTTTACAATAGGATCTTATTAGTATTTACAACCCTACCTACCAAACTACTGGGGTTTAATTTTGGTTTTATAGAGTAAATATACAACCCTAAACCCTATATTTAATAAGTAAATATAATTATATATATATAATATATTTAATTTATTTTAAAAAATAAAATAAAATAAAAATATATCTTAACAAGGCGAGCCAAATAGAATACTAACAAAAAAAAAAAATTGCTAACAAACGCAATACGAGCCCAGCTGAAATCCTTGACGAGCCGAACTCATTGAGCCCTGAAATTTTTCAGAGTGAAATAGAATTTGATTGAATACATTTGTCTTTTCGATAATTTTCAATAATTTGAAAATTATTTCGAATCGAATACGAGTATTATTGTGTGCAATCCATTTGGCACCTAAAGTACGACTTGATTGCGCACAATTCTACCTTCCTACAATGCATTTTCATCTCCATCAAAACTTTGCACTTAAAAATCATTTCTAAAATTCAATATAAGCAAAACAAATCGACATAGTCGCCAATAATATAAGCACCCAATATCAAACTCAAATAGGGCCGTGCTAATTTCTCTTATTCGTAATAAGATGAAAGTAACAACGCCTATAAATACTCGAAAATCTATCTACCGACTACTGAAATGGGAAAACCCTTTGTATCAATCGATTAATCGCAAAACTAGATATTACCAGAACACAAAACAACAATTCAAATACACAACAAAATTAAATAACAAATATGCATATAAGTTATACATACCCCATCAGATCCTTGCCGTCGCCACATGTCATTTTTGAAAGTCATTGCACTTAGTCGATAGTACTTTTCAGCATCCTTTCTTCTTTGTTTCCACGGCCACGCACCATTACCACCTCCATTACTATGCTCCTGCACATCGAATTTCTTGATCAGATTTCCCAATTTCATATGATGCATATATATATATATATTATGATCAATCACACTCGACAGTTACATTGGCACGACAATACACAAAATATAAACTAACAATACGGCATATAAACTAGCAGCATATGACAATAGTCCAAACAACGCCTATTACAATTGTTCTTCAACACAAAAGGTAGAGTTAACACAAAATGCACAACACATAATAACAATTTACCATGCACATGATATATTAATTCAAATCATGTGCTGATAGACTATATTTCATATATGAGTAAGACTAATCATGGTGAGTCAAGTCATGCAATGACACGAGTATACGTTAAAAGACAATTGGGCTTTGTTCGTTAGCAAAAAATACAAACAAGTTTTTCCAGAAAAATTAATATATCATATACATTCATAATTTTTATATTACCTACACAATTTTCTATATCTCACATAAAAATTATTGTTTCGAACAATTGCACAAAACAAACACACCCTAACATATAAAATTGAATAGATAACATATGACGACTAATAACATAGTGATTAACACTAATTAGCACCCTAACCATTCCACTTATAAAACATATATACACAATATTCATCCAAGAAAATGACTACATCCGATAACAAAATTCACAAAATCAGAGATGAAAATGCAAACACAATATTCATCCAAGAAAATGACGAAATCCAACAACTAGATCCACAAAATCAGAAATGGAAATGCAAACACTATTCATCCAAGAAAATGACTAAATCCAAAAGAAAAAATTCACAAAATCAGTGACGAAAATGCAAACACAATATTCATCCAAGAAAATGAATAAATCCAATGACAAGATTCACAAAATCAGAGATGAAAATGCAAACACAATATTCATCCAAGAAAATGACGAAATCCAATGACAAGATTCACAAAATCAGAGATGAAAATGCAAACACAATATGCATCCAAGAAAATGAATAAATCCAACGACAAGATTCACAAAATCAGAGATGAAAATGCAAACACAATATGCATCCAAGAAAATGAATAAATCCAACGACAAGATTCACAAAACCAGAGATGAAAATGCAAACACAATATTCATCCAAGAAAATGACTAAATCCAATAGATAAATTCACAAAACCAGAGATGAAAATTGCCAACTCTGTATCTGTATGTATGCAGTTCCAATTCCAATTTCAATTTCAATCCTCTTCGTCACTCTCATCACTGAAATATCCTTTCCTCTTCTCCTTCTTCCCCTTCTTAACCTCTCCCCTATCACTGCAACTGCCCAACAATCTCGCCTCCGCCGCCCCATCACCATCCACGACGGACGCCCAATTTTCCGTCTCAAAATCGACGTCTCCCTCTTCCTCATCCTCCAAATTGTGCTCCTGATCCTTACCTCCATTTTCTCCGCCTCCGCCGCCGCCGTTCCGGCGCAATTTCTTCGCTACAGGCCGTTCCCTCGGCCCCAAAAAGTTCTTAGGGCATTCGTACGACAAATGCCCCTCCTCTCCGCATTCGTAGCACTTGCTCTTATCCTTGTACACCTTTTTCCTGATGAACTCCGCGGCGCGTCCATTATCCGCGGCGATCGAGGCGCGTAGGGTTCTTCCGTTGAGTATTTTCTTATCCATGCCTATCACCGCCTTCGAGGCGTCGTCGCGGTTGACGAACAGGACGAAGGCCACGCCCTTGCTCCGGCGAGTGGCGCGGTCCTTGAGCACGGTGACCTTGGCGACTTTTCCGAACGTGGAGAAGATCGTGTGGAGATCGGAGTTCGTGAGGTTGTAGTCGATGTTGCTGATATAGACGGTGGATTTCGACGGAGCTAGTCCGCCGCTACCTCCTCCTCCTCCTCCGCGGGAGGATTTAGAGGAGGAGGAGGCGGCGGCGGGCGGCGGTGGCTGGGCGGCGGAGGCGTAGCGGTAGAAGAAAGTGTCGTCCGGTTCGTCGTCGCTGTACATATTTCAATTTTTCAATAAATTCTATGATACTCTGTCTGCCATTTATATATAGGGCTGTAGAATTCTGTTCGGTAGGGTTTTAGGCCTGACATTTTGTAATATATTTTAAAGAGTAAATTGTTACTTGTGTTTTACTAAAAATGTACAAAATATTTTATATTTTATTTATTGGATGAAACTTTTCTCTGTGTTAATATAAAATTTGCACGAAATGATATTTAATTCTAAATAAAGGCCTAAATCACTCAAGTTTAGTACAAATAAAAAATACAAAATATCTTAAATATTTTTTTAATAAAATAAATAAATAATTAATTAATTAATCTTAGTTTTTGAAAACAAATTGTTATATACTCCCTGTAGATACTGTATTTTAAAAATAGTGTAATTAGTAGATAATTAAAAATGTATTAGTAAAATAATTATTCTATAATATAAAAAATTATAAATTAAGATTAAGATAATTGATTAGTTTAATTAAAATTAAAAAAAATTAAAAATTTTAAAATAAAATTAAAGTGTGTAATCATTTTTCAAAAAATAAAAGTGAAATGGTATGTGAGAGGGACAACAACGTTAACATGGTACGTGGGATGGAGAGAGTAATTTTTATGAAAACTATAAAACTAAATGATTGATCAATAACTTTTTTATTTTTTTATTCAAAAAAATTATTTAAAATATTTTATATTTATTTGTATAAAACTTGCTTAATTTAGGTCTTTTATTATAACCAAATATCGGACAAGATGATGTTTCGTGCAAACTTTATATTAGCACAAGAAGATTTTACGCAATAAATAAATTACATGATGTTCTGTGCATTTTTACTAAAGAATATTTGTAATATTAAATTAAATTGCCAAAAAAATAAATAAATGTTATGGACGATACAAAATAAAAAATTTGATAAATAATTAAAGAGGAAAGAATATTATTTTGTTTTATAGATAAATTATATAAATATATAATTATTAATGTTTTGCTTAGTTTAATATTAAAATAATATTTTATTTTGAAAAAAAATGTATTAAAATTTTAAAAAATTTAATTTAAAAAACAGACCTATATTTTATTACTATATTTTATTACTAGTTCTGTGACAACAGAATTTATGTCTATTTCTTTTTAATAAAAATTATCTTTATCTAAATTTAAAATTTTATTTCTTTTTATAAAACTAAATTAAGTAAATATATATTATTATTTATAGTATATAAAAATTTATTATCTAATAATAATATCCATATAATATACATTTTATTAAAATATATATTTTAAAAATTTTTAATCATATATATAAACTTAAAATTTTAAAATACGAACAATATTATTTATATAAAAAATAATAAATAATATTATTATTTATTATTAATACTTTAAGATATGTTTTTTTATATATAATTTGAAATTTTTTTGTTTAAATTTGGTATTATATGATGGACTGTTTTGCTTGTGAGATAAAAATAAAATAAAATTTTGACGAATATAAAATTCAAATAATAAAAAATTGAAATTTAGAGGTAAAAAGAGTCAAACCCCTTGCTAATTTACATTTCTTATTAAAATACCATGTCTTTATTCAATGGATCATCGTCCTCCTCGAGATGGACATAGTATTAAAGGTATGTTTCTTTTGCTAAGTTTTTCAAAATTTTACTATTTGAACTCTATGTTTTTAAAAAGAAAAATATTCTCTTTGTTCCATAAATATAGTCTTAATTGGATTGGACACGGAATTTAAGGAATATTGATATTATATTGATAGCCGGTAAAAAATATGGATAAAAGACTTTTTTGTCCTTGTGATTGTATTAATGTAAAATGCAATGACAATTGTGTAATAAATAAAAAAAATATATGGGTAGTTTTATGGTGATATGGTTATTTATGGAAATAAAACTATTGTTTTGGGACGGACAAAAATAGTAAACAAGACTGTTATATTTGGACGGAGGGAATAGATTTTTTTCTCTTACAAAATATCATATCAAATATTATTTTTATATCAAATACAAACCAAATTTTTTTCAAACTTATGTTTCTTTACACAAATTTTCCCAAATTTTACTATTTAGACTCTGTATTTTTTTTAAAAAAATACACTTTTTCCTCTTACAAAAACATCTCATCAAACATTATTTTAATTATTACAATTTTATTTATTTCAATCCGTTAATCCAAAAAAACTTGTTTGAGTTGGCTTGAAAGCCCAACTTTTGGGTTACGGCAGGCCGGCCCAATATTTTAGTAGGTCACCGAAATGAATTTTATTTGTATTTTTGTATATTATTCCGTCCTTCCCACTTAACTAGCTACTCCCTCCATCTCGAAACTAAATATTCATTTGCTTTTTGCACGTCATTTTAGAAATATTAATATTATATTGAGATATAGTAGAAATAAAGTGAAAATGACTAAAATAACCTTATTAGTATGTGTGATATAAATGTAATGACATTTGTGTAATATATTGTAAGTTGTAAGGGTATTTGTAATGTTAGGTAGATAGTACAGTTATGGGACTGACTAAAATGAAAAAATGGATACTTTGTTATGGGACGGAGGGAGTATATTGTTGTTTATTTCCATCTTATATTTTATACTATCTCCGTTCGACTCTAAGTATCTCATTTATTTTTGTATGTTAGTCTTTGAATATTAATTATTATATAAAAAACATAGTATAAATTAATAAAAAATTACAAAATAATTCAATTAGTGTCTTATAAAACTAATAGAGAGACATTTGTATACAAAATTATACAAGTATAAGAATATTTTTAATGTTAAGTACAATGACGCAAAAAGTAAATGTGACCTTAAAGGCGGACGAAGGAAGTATCACTTATCATTTTTTAAAAATGATTGCACATTTTAATTTTATTTTAATTTTAATTAGACTAAATAATTATTTTAATGTTAATTTATAATTATTTTTCACTGATACATTTTTAATTAGTTACTAATTATATTTATTATAAATGATCATATTTAAAGTAACTCAAACATGCTATGCGGAATAAAGGGAGCATATAATTGTTATAGTGATATTATGTACAGGTCACCGATCATGTGTTGATGTTTGAATTCAGCATTGCTAAATCTTACTTTAACCATTAATTTTGTATTTAACGGTTATAATTATACAAAGATAATTTAGTTTTTTATTTCTCATTTTTATTATTCTTGTTATCTTATTGTCAAACTCTTATCTTTAGCTAGAGGTTAGATCTTGGATGAGATTTTCGTCGGGTATATGAGTGTGAGTAAAAGAAAAAATCACCGTTATCTTATTTCTACACTTTTGTAAACCGTTTCTTTTTCTCTCCGTTTCAACTGAAATTTTCGCTCAATTTCTCTTTATTGTGTGCGAGTATTTTTCTTTTTCAAATTATAGTTAAATTCAGTTACCTATTGTATTTTAGTAAAATTTTATTATGGTAGAAGTTCTAAAGAATTTGAGACTACTTTCTATCACCGTAAAAACTTCTATTTAATTATTTTGCGTTAGAGTTGGAGGTATAGTTGTTATGTAATTGTCAGGTGCAAGTTGAGGTATATGAAACTTGCACATGCATATGACCTAGCCAAGCTTTGATACCATGTCGGATGTTGAATGACTGTCTCACCTAAAAGCTCGAACTGTTAGGGAAACTACGCCACTATTCATATATTCGCAAATGAGAGCCCCAACATAAGTTGATGTCTGGAAATATAACAATTAAATTCTAAATTGAGAATTCTTATTTTGGGGGTTTTCTATTTGTTAAAAAAATAATAATAATAATTGAATAGTGAATTGTTACTTCACTTATTAAAAAATTAAGATATTGAAAAAAAAAATGTTTGTATAAGAGAGTGTTTAGCAAGAGTTTTGGAACTTAAAAGTGGGATTGTTATTAATAGTTGAAAAAATTCAAATTTCTTTATATATCTACTATTTACAAAAAAAAAAAAGGAAAAAAAATTCTAAAATATCAAATTAAATATTTAAATTTTTATATTATATTAAAAATCAATTTTATATTCAAAATATTATGTAACATATATTTATATCACATCATACAATTATTTCTAATTCAAATTTTTTACTATTCAAATCAAACTAAAAAAAAAAGTCCAAACTCTCAAACAAACATATCCTAAAGCAAAATTTACATTTTTAAAATATATATTATTTTCAATATGTGATTTTTATTATTTTAAATAAAAAACTAAAAAAAAAAGGTAAATTATATAATACATCCTTATATTTTACTAAAAATGCACAAAATACATGTCTTTTATTGCTTGAAACCCCTTGGTTTAATGGAAAGATTGCATGAAACACTCTCCTTGTCCAAAAATGATGTTTCGTTCGAAATAAAGACTTACATTACGTAAATTTTATATAAATAAAAAAAGTAAAATATCTTAAATAATTTTTTTAAATAAAATAAATAAATAAACAAATTGATCAATCATTTATTTTTATAATTTTTTATAAAAATCAGACAACAATTTGCCTCCAAAAATTATAAAATAAAGGATTAATAAATTATTTATTTATTTATTTAATGCAAAAAAAATATTTAAGATATTTTCTCACTTTTTATTTGTATAAAACTTGCATAATTTTGTATTTATTTAGAACTAAACAAGAAAGATATTTCGTGCAAACTTTATATTAACATAAGAAAGTTTTACGCAATAAATAAAATACATAGTATTTTGTGTATTTTTACTAAAAACACAAAGGGGTGTATATAATTTACCCCAAAAAATTTATATATAAATAGTACTAGTATATGTGAAAATAAAGAGATGTAAAATTATATCGTAGTCCAGCCACATGGGGCAGGCATAGTGCTTTTATCGGTGGGGTGTGAAATCCGCTTTTATAATTCTAGAAGCGTGTGGGCCATACAAACACGCTTTTATCTACAAACACGCTTTTATCTACTACGACAGATTTTACACTCTCCATCAATCAAGCCATAAAAAATAAAATAACATAAAATAAAATAAATCAATTTATGGAGTATTTCAA